TATGTATATTCACCTACAGTGAGCAACAAGAAGTTTCGTACCGGTAGAACATGGAGATAAACGACGCTCGTTTCTATATTGTTAACTAGATTCAAATGTGTATATTCGGGTTTTACCAGTTAACAATACCGAATATAACAAGTAATTCTTATCTCCATGTTCTTTCTATAACAATACTTTTCTTCCCTCGCTGTGTATATGTGTATATATATTTACATATATATACATTTATATATATACGTATGTGTGTAAGTATATGTATATTTGAGTGTATGTATGCGTGTATATGTACACACATACGTATGTATACACGTGTGTGATGTACGGGATAAAGTATGTACGCGCACATAGGGAAACGCGAGGTTGGAGAGCACACCGGATACGCAGCACGATCTATCATTTCCTTCATCGATCGCGATCGCACGCCACTCCTCCTATCGTCCAACGTTTTTTCTATCGATCGACAACCTCAGAATTCTCTACACCCTATCGCTGGACCGCCGATGTTCGTGCAGATCGGTGATTTCGTTAATTTAATAGTTTGTACAGGTTAACTTGGCGGTCTTGAAATCTTCTATGCGCATGCGCGAACAGAAAGTGGGCGGATCCGTGACGCCCCCCGCAATTTATAGCTCCGCCCATTCAGCCATGAAATTACGGTTCCAGTCTATTTTACGATTTTATATTTGTTGGAAGACCATGAACATCGGCGGTCCACTCATCACCATTGTACATATGAATCATACGACGTATATACACATACATACATATGCATATATAGGTATATATACATAAATATATATATACATATATTAAAACGGATAATAATACACTTAGCACTAACAGAATTACCCTATTATTACATGAGATGATATTAATTAACTCGATAGTATTATACCTGTTGCCCAGTAGCGTACTATTACCTACTACCCTCCTCCTTCCTCTCCCCCTTTTCCCACACCTTTAGGAAAAAACAGAAAATTTCGAAAAAGGAAAAAAATAAGTAATGAGAGATGGATCGTTATCTACCGTTATCGCACTTTGAGTTTAAATGGTTGAAGTAATATCGTCGTCGGTGTATCGATAAGGATTATTATGATGATTAACTATTATTAATTATTATTATTAATTATTCTATTCTATTATATTGTATTATTATTAATATTATTACCGTCAAGCATCGTCGTTGTCATCGTCGTTGTCATTGTCGACCTACATCGTTCATCAGTCGCGATACAACCCGCATTGTCTCAATACCCAATACTCTCTTCTGTTTGCCCCGCCCCTTTTACCGCTCCATCGTCATCCCTTTTTCGTTTCGCGGCTGTAGCAGCCGATTTCGCCTTCCATGATCGTCGCCATTTCTCTTCCTTCGATCGCTGCTTCTTCGTCGACGATTTCTTCTCGTCGCTGGATCGATCTCTGTTCAAACGGGATTAAAAAATTTTCTAACGTTCCCACCCAACCCGAGAATTCTTCTACGTGATCGCGGGACCTCGCACGCCAGAAACATTTGGTTCCTCAAGGTCGTCCTCCCACCACAATTCCTACTTTCACTTCAGGCCTAGGCTATCTCTTCTTCAGCCAAGTAGGCGGAGCATAGGGACTAGAAGGCGTGGTACATAGATACGCGAGGGGAGCTATAGGTGTGGCTATACGTCACAGTGGATGTAATCCTTCACTGACCTTGAGCAACCAAAGTTTCTCGGGTCAATCGAACCTCGAAGGTTGTAACCTTTGAACTTCCTAGCAGAAAAGTCGAAAGATTCGAGTGAGCTGGCTTTGTTTTGTATTGGACTATCCTGAAAATGGATCACCAATCGTACCGCGCGAATCGAGAACGTATATCGGTTCCTTCTACGCATTTTTCATTTTTCTAGAGACATTATACGAACCATACTGTCGTCGAAGGAACCCTTATACCAAGTCTGCTTCGAAAGAGGATGCAGAACCATTTCTTTTCGATTCGACCCGCGCTTCTTTTCTCTCGCGCGATTCGAAGGGGACGAGAACTCGTCTGTCGTGAAGTCGTCGAAGAATTCCTTCCATTAGACTGATTAGGAATACGAAGTATTGCAGGGAACGTTTTTCATGGCGATCGCTCCGAAACGAAGGGGAATCGATCGATCCGACCGACGCGGGAAGAAGCACGCGGGATCCTCTTCTCCACGTTGCATCGTCTCTCACGACCCGATTCCCGTTACCCTCGAAACGTGCACGTGCGTGTGTGCTTGACGAAAGAGGACTGCGTTTGAACCGAATCGAATCACCGATCTGATTTCCGCGCGCGACTTACGAGCGACAGGGGATCACCATCGGACGTGGCCGCATATCACGCGAAATGACGCTGCGCGAGCTGTTGCGAACCCCTGCCACCGGCTCACGGACGCCTTAGACTCACGGCCCCCTCGGTTTATTTAATTTGTAAATAAATCACGATTCACCCGAGACCACCAATGGAGTTTTGATTTTCGAGCGTCACGGCGTTTCTCGCGATATGCGCGCCCAACGGCGAGCGAAACTGCGTTGAGAACTTAGCCTCGATTATTACTGGTAGGAACGGACGCAATTGACTGGTTAAAGTTGCCTCCCTCGCTGCGGCTTCTTAATTATTCTTGCTGTAAATCTGTGTTAAAAAAAATAGAGACAGCGAAAACGCCAGAAATTACAAAGCAATTCCGATAGTGCTTCTTTGTAAGTAATTACGGATCACGTTTGTAACAATTTACTGCGTTGAAGATTTTTTTGGACTGAAATTATAATTAAGCACTGTCGAATATAATGAGAATAATATGGCAGAGCTGTTACGAGGGATTGCAGCATGGCCAGAACAATTGGGTTTCGAGTCGACATGGTCGAACGTGTCTTGCGATGAGACCGTTTCAGCTTGTGTAAGTCGGGACAATCGACTCTCCGATCTTGTCTGTAATCACTGCCATTTTACCGATACAGGGTCGATGAGCGACAACGATTCGGAATAGGAAGATTTGTTAAATGTTACCGTGAAGCGACGCGCTTCGTGACAGCGTTTAGGGCGAGCTAACTTCCGGGAGGACTGCCGCGGACCTCGCGCCGTGGACAACGTGTTTCGGTGCCGATGTTAAAAAAACAAAAAAGAAAAGAGTTGCTGGCAACTTAGGGAACCGACGAAGCCGCTGATATTCCCTTTTTTCGGTTTTTGTGAGTACGTCGCGCGGCGGGATGAGCACACCGGACTCTTGTCCACGGGACCGGTCCACTTGTTTTTCGTCTGTAGCCGATTTATACGGTGCATATCAAATTTGAGCGATTCGGGGGCATAAGGAACAGCTTTGTATTGAGGATGGTTCGCAGTCCGTTGATTTACAGTAAATCGAACTGACAAATTCTAGGGGTAACCATATGACTGTATACACAATACGACTAGATCTCCTTCGATTCGTCGGGAACAGTTACATTTGACGATCATGTTCCATATACACATGAAATGCTCGAATTTGGTGTGAGCGATCAGGACGTCATCGAAAGAAACAGACAGGCGTGTTCTGCGTTCGCGTTAAGCGAGATAACAAGAGCCTTATCGCGAGTAATCGCGAGACAGAGAAAAAAGTTTCGACCGATGGCGTTTACCCTTCACCAACTATACGCAATATGAAATTGAGTATACTGAGCAGAGCAGCGAGAACCATTTGTCCTAGTCCTAGTATTCAAAATCATCACCATAATTTATAACCGATTTCAATTTAAATCTAATAAAATGATGTTATAATACCAACGTGCAGTTTTGTTGTTATTTCAATGCTTAAAAATGATATAATTATAAGAGAAATTGAGAAATAACTTATGTATTAATTCTTTATTGAATTTTCGTTGGTTCCCGCCAATTTAAAGTTCATGGTGGCGACATCTTTCAGTAAATCCATGAAATTATTGAATGTCTGTGTAATCGGTAGATAAAAATGGCGTAGATAGGATTGTTAGCACAGTTAACGTCTTCCTTTTTCGTCTCAGCGTCTTCCTTTCGCGGCTCAGTTTCGGTACATCTTTGTTACTGGCAGAGCCGCGGGACGAAAAAGACAGACAGCCAATAACAAGAACGTGGCTAAACTGAACCGACATAAGGATCAGACCGAATGCGGCGAATGGACGTCTCCCCTTACCCCTGTGCACATTTAAACCAATAGTCAACGGCACTAGCGTGAAACGCGAATAATAGATATATAGGAATCAGAACAAAGATAGTTGTAGCCAATATATCGGTAATATCGGTTTCTACTTGTAGATAAAGTCAATTTCTGTTTGTTATTAGAAATCGTTTAACTATACATTTTAAATTCTTTTGTTAATATCCGTGATATTCTTTTTGTAAATAGTTAGTTAGATACAAGACGTCATAGTTGGTTGATAAAATGTTTCGACATTATAATTTAGTGAACATTGTAAATAAATAATATACTGAATAAAGAAACACGCCACATAGTAGGTTTGGTAGCGTCATCCAACGGAAACAAACTTGTACTATTTGACTAGAAGCTTGAGCGGTCTTGCACTATGCGACGAAACTAATTCTACAAAAGGAAAGACAAGGATAGATACATGGTATTAAGTAGGATAGACATAGTTAATTTAATCGTACCACCTAGCGGAGATACTCTGGTACTATTTGGCTAGAAATTTGAGCAGTCTCGCAATATGTAGCGTCACCAATCCGGGATAAACAAATAGGATTTTTAAAAATTATTATTTTAACGGCTTCTTAATAGATTAGACACAACTATTCTATGTTATTAATGAAATGTTTATTCAATATCTGACAATGAAGAATTAATTATAACACTTAGATTTATTATACAAAGTAGTATAACTACAAAGTATAATAAATCATACATTACCATCAAGGTGGTTTCCAAATAGAAAAAAGCGAACTGTAACTTGAACTCGAATTAACTGATGATATAGTCGATAAAATAATCAGCTACATTTCTTATCGACTGTTGCTTCGTTTATATAGTTTACAAATTTAGTCGCTAGTGGATGTTATATATTTTATAAATGGATGCGTACATGTGACACTTAAGTTAACCTAAACTACTCTATTTGCGCATTTCTGTTTAAAGTTATATAAAATTAGATATATCTTAAAATACTATTGCTTGTGAAATTATTCCTGTAATACGTTACCATGGTTAGAAAAAAGAAAGGTAATTCATATCTATTATAATATTTATTTAAATCATTGTGCATTCAAATACAACAATCTTTTGTTTAGAATTCGATCAGAGTAAAGAGGAACGAATGATGATAACAATAGGTGAAATTATACAGGAATTGTTGAAAGCACATGAGGAAAATAGGGATGTGGATTTAAACAAATTAAAAACTCGAATATCCTCTAAATATGGTCTGGACTCTTCACCCAGATTAGTTGATATAATTGCTGCTGTACCCGTAGATGCAAGAAACATATTAGTGCCAAAGTTGAAGGCTAAACCAATTAGAACTGCTAGTGGAGTTAGTATCACAATATCTAATAATTTATATAGGGAATAAGAATTAAAATTATAAAGATATTATGAAACATTAAAACATGTATTTAATCATTTGGACTTTATAGATAGCTGTTGTGGCTGTAATGTGTAAACCACACAGATGTCCTCATATTAATATGACAGGAAACATTTGTGTATATTGTCCTGGTGGTCCTGATTCTGATTTTGAATACTCAACTCAATCATATACCGGTTATGAACCTACATCCATGAGAGCCATTAGGGCAAGATATAATCCATTCTTGCAAACAAGGCATCGCGTTGAACAGGTGAACATAAAATTCTACAAAATATTTCAACATTCCCAGAAATAGTAATGTGCAATGTTATTATAGCTAAAACAATTGGGACATAGTGTAGATAAAATTGAGTTCATTGTCATGGGAGGCACCTTTATGTCTCTACCAGAAGATTATAGAGATTACTTCATTCGAAATTTGCATGATGCATTGTCTGGGCATGTTAGCAGCAATGTTGATGAAGCAGTGAAATACTCTGAAAGAAGTAAAACAAAGTGCATTGGTATTACTATAGAAACGCGACCAGATTATTGCCTTAAGAAACATCTTTCTGATATGTTACATTACGGGTATGTGATACTTTGAACTGATCTGTACAAAGAATTAATTAAAAAACGCATTTTTTAAATATAACTATTACAGGTGTACTCGCTTAGAAATAGGTGTACAGTCAGTCTATGAAGATGTAGCCAGAGATACTAACAGAGGTCATACTGTACGTGCAGTGTGTGAGAGCTTTCACATGTCAAAAGATGCTGGTTTTAAAGTAATAGCACATATGATGCCAGATTTACCAAATGTGGATATCGAGAGAGATGTTGATCAGTTTATTGTTGGTCATAGTTTTTATTAATCACAAATTCTCTTCTCGTTAAAATTTCTTTCTAAGATATGTTATGTTTTTAGGAATTTTTTGAAAACCCAGCATTCAGAGCAGACGGTCTAAAAATTTATCCAACGTTAGTTATTCGTGGTACAGGCTTATACGAGCTGTGGAAAACGGGAAGGTACAAAAGCTACCCTCCTAGTGTGTTAGTCGATCTTATAGCTCGTATATTGGCTCTTATACCACCTTGGACTCGTGTTTACCGTGTGCAAAGAGATATACCTATGCCTTTAGTTAGGTATGCATCTATTAATTGCGATATTAATATTTTATTTCGTACAGTCATTTAACATGATTATTTAATACACAGTTCAGGAGTAGAACACGGAAATCTACGTGAATTGGCATTGGCAAGAATGAAAGATCTAGGAGTCGACTGTCGAGACGTAAGAACTCGAGAAGTAGGTATCCAAGAAATCCATCACAAAGTGCAACCGTATGAAGTAGAACTTATACGTCGTGATTATGTTGCTAATGGAGGTTGGGAAACATTCCTTTCGTATGAAGACCCGACGCAGGATATTTTAGTCGGTTTGCTAAGACTAAGGAAATGTTCCAGTGAAACTTTTAGGTAATACGCCAGTTCAAAACCGTTTAACAATCACACTAATCCTTCACACTTTACAGGCCAGAACTTAAAGACAAGTGTTCAATAGTAAGGGAACTACACGTATATGGCAGTGTAGTACCCGTAAACGCTCGAGACCCTACAAAATTCCAGCATCAAGGTTTCGGTATGTTACTAATGGAGGAAGCTGAGCGTATAGCAAAAGAAGAACACCAATCTCATAAAATTTCCGTTATATCAGGTATTAAAAAACATATTTTTGCAACGAAAATGATTTACTCTAACTAGGTACCAAATTAAGAAATATCGCACGTTTTAGGCGTTGGGACACGAAACTATTATAGAAAAATGGGTTACGAACTCGACGGCCCATACATGTCAAAAATGTTAATAGAGTGCAAATAAATTATGATTTATTTTCATACAGTAGAAACTCGCATATTTATTCAACCTTCGCACGTTCGTTTAATAATATTTTAAAAAATTACACTTGAAATGTCCTTTTATTTCAATAGAAAAAAAATTCAAAATCCAATGGTAACAGTTGCGATTTCTCGCACAGAGCGTTTCGATTCCTCGATCAGACAATGGAATAACCATGGGTTCCCCCACCTTTTCTTGCGCCACCTGCTGTCACGAGTCGGAGAGAGTAAACAAAAGCCACTCGCATTCGTGACGCTGCTGTCGATCGGTGAACGTTGTTGCTCGCGCTCGAACTCGTGTTTGTGATGTGTGTTGTATCAAATACGGCTCGATCACTACGGACGAGCAATTCGCGAAGAACGAATTATCGCGTGTGTGCTCCTGTATCTGGCCTCACCTCTACAACCGGAACGAGGATGTCGAACAAGGAATGGATCGGTGAACGCTAGAAGACATTTCGGACAAAATCAAGGCGGTTCCTTGACAGACAAAAGCAACGAAGTATCCTGGCGCCAAACCGTGTCAAGGTATGTGCATTTTTTTCATTCATCACTGAATGCCGATTGAAATTTAAGGTTAGGTCCCTCGGACTGCGTTTCCCTACGCTCGAAATTGTATCATTGCGATATATATCGTTCCTCGATTGGGAACTCCTTGACCGGTGATTTTGAAGTTTGCTGTTGTTCATGTTGGACGAACGGTACGTTAGAGAACAGTTGAAATGCGATTTAAAAAAATCCTTTGTTTGCCGGTAATTGCATCCTGTATGATTTTCAAATTTACGCAGTGCACCAAGTTACTGTGTTATGTAAACAAAAAGAGAAACTCTTCCGACATTTACGATTGCGATACACGTAATCCTGCGCTGTAACTGGTTCTGGCGTGCTCCTTACAACGCCTTCTTATTCAAGTATTTCGAGTTGTAAACTTCAAAATTCGAAGTATTCGTCTAAACCGTTGAAAACAAAAATTAATTGAAGTGTAAAAATACAGTCAACCCATACGTTCAAAAACTTTAAGCGGAATGGATAAATCACTTGTGTGTAAACACGATTATGTTTCGTTGAGCCAGCGAAATTCTGTACTCGAGATTGTTTTTATCTCGTTGCACTTCGTCAGGTAGAAGTATTATATGAGATCATTGAAATCTGACATGGTGCAGATATAACAATGAAAGATTCGAAATAGCTCATGAAATTTTATTAAGCTTCTCATTCATATCAACATCCTTTGTTATAAAAATAATAAAATAATTTATCAAACAATTACAAATAAACAATACATAAAATTCGAAAACATCTTTCACTAAACAACAGTAGTCCGGGATAAAAATCTATAGCTAAATCGTTGGTACGTTAAACTCATAACCTCCAAGGATCTCGTCCCCAATTCCGCCATGAAAATCACCTTCTGCACAATCTTCCGTGATCCTGCGTCGGTCGGGTGAAGAAATTAATCATGTCTAAGGGAAATCATGTTACATCACCGTTTAATTGAATCAAATTCAGAACAACAAATTATCGCCGAGTTATATAATTCTAATTACCGATCGAAAATTGCGATAAACCGTGCCCGTAGCGCACGATATTCATCGCCGAGTGTACACGTCACGTTTTCCCCCGTGTGTATTGGGTTAGCGGGTTTCGTGAGTCGCGCGCGGGTGCACGGACAAACTGTTTCGCGATGATGATTTTGGCTCGGCGCTCGCAATATATTCGCGAAGTGGCCGCGAATCATGAATTCGCCTCCGACCGGCCAATTGGATGACTCGCGATCTATAGTAAATATCCGGCTACTATTATTAAGTTTGTCCTTAACGATCGTTACGGGTATCGTCTCGCAACCATTAGCTGCCGTCGTACGAATGGCACCGGAGCCGTTCGCGGACTTCGCGAAGTTATCGGGTCGTGATCTCGTGACGGGTTGTGTGTGTTTGCGTCACTCGTGTTAAGTGCCCTCAGGACTCACGTGAAACCTCGTAGGAGATAACCGACATCGGCTATCCTGAATTAAATCCTGCATTAGAAACTGTCCTGGTAAGCTGCCATTCGACTTTATGAAGCATCAAAATATCAGACCATAATGAAGTTACTATCATATCAGTTATCTATCACTGTAAATAAGAAATTTTTGAAAAAAATCAGCGTCGGTCACTGGTGACCGGCAGTGATTCCGGTCATACCGAACTGCCGATTACTACACGGCAGATGAATTGAGCCGTTGATTTTGAAAGTGGCTTAAGTCCATTTTTCGAATAAATCAAGATAACCCTCTATGATCCGAATTTTTTTTCATGATTATAACAAAATCTATACAGTACAAAATTAATAAATATCTACATATGTAGTTAATAGTTTCAATAATTTCATCAAACGAATATATTTTATAACTGATTACTTTATTTTTGTTAACAGATAACTGATTACTTTATTTTATTCACCACTTTGAATGCAAAATGAAATAAATCAACAAGATGTCAATATACTGATGTATATGTGACTTCAATGTAACATGGCCCTATAGAGGATTAAACCTTACAATAGTTACAATTCTCCTTTATCCTTTAATAGTTTTCTCTTTTCCAAGTGGACTTAAGCCACTTCCAAAGTGAACAACGTGAAGCAACATTGTCACGATTTTGAACACGTTCAAGTAACAATGATAGCCATGTGTAGTTAGTGAATAGAGTAGTACGGCGTGTTTGTAGGCTTAGAGCTGCTTGGCTAAAGGTACAGCTGTATCTCTCCGTTTTCTGAATATCCTGCCAAATGAATCATCTTAAAGCGGTGTTGAGCATCTTGTATTCCTGAAAAGCAGACCTGCCACAAGCCCGCGGCGATTTGTTAGAACTTCGAATTATTATTAATTATACTTCTCGCGTCAGCACAGCTCGTGTATCGTTTTCATAAATAAGCAGCGGACCCTCGATATTTACATACGTGCCGCCGCGAACGTTCGCACTCGCATTTCCGCGCTGCTGTTTATCCAACTGACACGTTAGACCGCACGACGACCCGTACCGGGAACTCCCGATATCGGATTGTGCGCATACGTTCAGCTGGATAAAGGGATCGGTACATGCACCCGTACGGCGCTTTAAAAAGTGGAACATATCGTCGTAAGGTGATCAGGCTCGAACGTGTTTTGCATGCCTTCCCAAATAGTGACACTGTATTAGCTAATTGTATTGACACAAACGCGGGTGAAGAGGGAGGGAGATCGCTTTTCGTAATGTCCCAGAAAACCGAAAGATGGCGGTTACTTGGGTAACCGTCGTTTCGTGTATCCTTTCATAGCCGACATTAAACAAGGAAAACAACTCCTTTTCTTATGGCTCGTTTCTGTCTTATTTATTACAAGGGGTTCGAATACAAACCTATGTATACATTATCATAGAAATCACTGATAATACTTGAAATATTTAATTCATTAACACTAGAATTACCGTACCAGTCAAAATGACTGATTTCGATTTTCTTGTTTTGCAATTATCGATATCTTAAAAGCATTCAATATTTTAAATGATCTTGTAAATAAATAGTTTCATTTGAATACTATAATGAATGTCTGGAGAAACTGAAAATAATTGTTACAATTTTTATAGGGATTACATATTAATCATATTAAATACTCGGTAGTTCTAGTGTTAACATTAGAACAGTGAAATAGACTTTTTGAAATTTTTCTATGGGAACTCCAATAGTGCTACTATTGAGATTTCTATTGCTTTATAATTCAGTTTGCCTATTGCTGAATCAGTTGCTATAATAATTTCTCAGAGAATTATTTGTTATGTTTTTAATAATTATTAACGAAGCAATCAGGAATGGGCCATTTTGACCTCTGTGGTAGCTTTAGTATTAAGTAGGAGCAAACTTTTGTATCGTATTGTTGTAAGTTGTACTGGTTCTGTGCAAACAGTGTTTGGGTCTACTGAAGTAGCAGATGTAGTTTATTGTAAAATTATAATTAATAATATTGTCTGTCTTCTCGTGGTTTCGAAGTCGAGTAGGCTAGTTAGCCGCATCCATCTCGTTTTACCCCTCTTTTGGGTCGTCTCGTTGTTACATGCGACGCACTGGAATTTGCATCTTTGTTCAGCGAAGTAGCGCGTTACCGGGAATGCACGGTGCCATGCTTGTACGCCTACACACCGACCAGATAAGTCGTCGACATGTGCAACGAACATTGCCGGAAAGTGGGACACTCCTGGTTGACCATGAATTTCTTGCTAAGCTTCGCGAATTTATGCTTGAGCGTGGTATCGTGTTGCGCGGGATCTAGATGGAATTAATCTGATATTAATCCGAACTGACTCGCACGAGGCCCTGCAGCCGCCATTTTCAGTTCGTTTCGTGATTGATTAATCGACCGCCACCGATAATAATAGACTTTTAGATTCATTTCAACCGTAAAAAAGATATTAAATTGCACGGTTTCAAACTGAATGATTGAAAAAAAATATATTTTCTGGCTCGCATAAGAAACGGTTTGAGAACCCCTGTGCTAAGTAAATCCAAAGATCGATGGACGCTGTCCAATTGTTCGACACAGATCGATACGCATCGATACATCGGTGAAACTCAATTCCGTGATGAAATTGGAACGTCATGTTGATTGTTCGTTGTGCAAAGTTACCGGGACTTTGTCGTGTATATTGCGCATAGCGTCGTTGATGGGCGACAAAACTGATGTATTATCGTTACTTGACATTGGAATTCCTCGGGCTCATTTGCTATGCTTTGTTTTTGTGATCGACAAACTTCCCATTGCGTGTCACGGAACCAGAAAGCATGCATTTTGTCCGTCCGTTCATAAAATTCAAATGTACGGTATGAGTCAATTGTATTTTAAAATGTTTAAGACTTGAACTACCGAGCATTTAATACGATTCATATGTTCGCTACCAGCGTCACATATTTGTAACGGTCGTAATCCTATATTTTACATAATGAAAATGAAAGTAATCCTATAGATATTGTTATTAGAAATTATAAACTATGA